AGGAGATTTCCTAACATCCTATTTTCACGTCCTTAGACAGTGAGAGGAAAAGCAGAGCACTCAAAACAAATCTATGTCAGACCTAACACAAGTTTCAGTAGACCCAGAGCCATCTTGCTGTGAAGCAACTATACACATTGTGTCTCTTGCATGTAGAGATGTAGCATCACAGTTTTTATTGATTCTGTTGTTAACATGTCTTTTGACCCTGTTGAATTATTCCTGCAAACGTATCAGTTTTAAAAATTTTGCAGGAGAACATATAGTCACTCTTCAAAATGAAAATCATGCAATTCAATTAAATTCAATGCCATACAAGTGGATTCAATTTCACTTCACATCAATTAAATTTAATTATAGTTCATTTCAATTCAGACAAAAAAGCACAGGGTGTACACATGAGTACTGAATACTCCTGTGGAATGCACACAAATGTTTGTGTTGGACCAACTTATTGCACAACCTGTTGTGTGCTGATAAAAATGACAGAAAACTGACCATTCCAGTTCAGTATTGCTGTTGCTCACTGTTAGTTAGTCACTACATAGTTTTTTGTTTGTTGTGCAAACAATTCCATTGTTCTAATTTAATTTGATATCTAATGCTTACAAAATAGAGTTAATTGACTTACAAAGATTCTAAATGTGATTTTTTTCTTTACATGTATTGTTATTGGTCTCCTCTTAACTATAAAAGTTGGTTTTCATTATCCTATTATGGTTTATCACATTTGTATCAGTATCAGCTTGTAAAATTGAGTTTGTGTTCCAGGCTCCAAGAATACCCAAACTCACCACTCTTATGATCACAGTGGTTTCTGATATAAACAAAAATTATGATTTCATTTATTTTGCTCAATTTCTTTAAAAAAAATACTTTTTTGTGTGAGACATAGAAACACGTCTTTGGAGAAAGAGAGATTTACCAGGTGCTCAGGGTTATGAAGTAGTCAAACTGCAGGTCAATGGAAGCCTCTCAGTTTACCTCCGGCATACTTATATGCATAATGTTCTTTGTTTGTGACTGAACAGTTTGAATCATGTAAATAGTTCAAAAATGTACTTTCTTAGGCTAAGTTCAGTGAGGAGAGCATATGTTTCTTTTTGTTATTCATGTGACACTGGGTGTGGATGGACACATTCAGTAGATTATGTATTACTCTGCACCTTCTTAAATAGTTGTATAGTTTGATTATGTATATAGCTGTAGCTGATGTTCTCGAACATAATTTGAAAAATTCAAAAGAAAAACTAATTTGTTTGTACTGTGATTCTATGAAAACCCTAGAATTGTTATGTTCTCTTTTCTTGATACAGTCCCATAAACTGGAACAAACAAAAAAATGCTCTTCTTGAGCTCCCACAACAACAACAACATCATTCCTGGTTAATTGTCAAGAATCTGACAACAGAGAGTCTCCTTTCACTCCCACACGACCCATTGAAACAAGGAGGAAGACAGACCCATTCAATTAGAAATGATGCTAGCCGACTGTACTGACAACAAGCAAGCAGAACACACAGCCCTGTTTCTGAGAAATAATTTGAAGTTATCAAATTACTTTCTTATATTCTAATCTGATTATGTTAAAGGGTTGATTCACCAGACAGTGGTGTAGTGCAAAATCTAAAAACACAACATAAACTGGTTTGTCTTATTTGCTGTCAGGGCACGAAGATGAGTCAACCCAGGTCTCTTTGTCACAGTTGGTTTGACATTGGCAACAAATGAAATAGTGTGGTTTAATCATGCCATTTAATATCCATCAATCCACAAAATGTAATTAATAAATGTTTGGCCAATTAAAAGCCTAATTATATGTATCAGCCTGTGTTTTACACCATCATCATGTTGGGTGAAATATGAGGGCAGTGAGGGCAGAGTTGCACAATGCAGTTTACACAACTATCATCACTTTGCAGACGTGAACACAGATCTAACAGAGGCCTCTCTTCTCTCTGAGTTAAAAGCTTCAACCGTTTTACAACCCTTAAATCTTGGGAATGGAATGAAAGGTTCGAACTTTGAACAAAACAGACAAATATGTGCTCTGTATAATTACAGGTGACATTCGAAGGAACCTCTCAAAAACATGTCCAAACCAGTTCAGTCAGTCTATGGTATATGCAAACTAGGTCTCAGACTGATGCAATTGAATGCAGCTTTTTAAATAACAACTGTACAAGAGGGTGTTTTGGTCTTTGATTGAGGTGTGTTCAGACATATTGTTTTTTGCATCAGTCGTTCGACCGCAGAATGTAATTGCCTAATGGACCAATAACAAAGTGTTAGTGTTATTTTAAATGGTAAATGGTTTGTATTGATGAAGCACCTTTCTTGTCTTGGTGACCTCAAATCTCTTTACAGTACAGTTTGCCATTCACCCATTCACTCACACATTCATACGGTGCATCTATTAGCACCACTTTTTTGTTCTATGAGGAGCATTTCAGGGTTCAGCATCTTGCCCAAGGACTGATGAATTATTTTCTTTCATGCTTTTCAGTCTCAGTGGTCATTTAAGTCACATGCTTCACCAGTTGTGTTCTTCATTGTATTTTGTCACAGTTTTTCACCTAGTGCAAATAAAATAAAATGTTTATGCACAAATTAAAAATATGCACAAACTTGGGTGAAATACAGCTTGAGAGACAATGTAATGTGATCAATATGATATGATATGATATTGACCCATTATGTAATAGACTGTGCATTACATACAAAGTACTTGAAGTGGTTATGATTGATATTCTCATTTAACAATATATCAAACAACAAGGTGTCACTGATGAACCAACAGACTAGTGTATAAACAGTGCTACAGTAATTTAATTCATTTTTATTTGTAAAGTAGCTTATCACAATATACACTAGGGCTGCAAGCAGCACTGAGCGGGCCCGAGTAGTAGCAACTCCAATATTTATAGGCACTTACCATTCTAAGGTAGGGATCTTATGATATTTATAATCAATAATAATTTGAATCCAATCAATACAAATTGTGTTACTCTGCAATATTATATACTAACAATGAACCCTTCTGCTGTGAATAAGTAAACATTTTTCATAAGGACTGATTATCTCTAATTAGGTATGAGGTAAGATTAGGTATATAACATGAAATACTTTACATAACATAAATACTTTAACATTTGACTTCAGGAAATAATTAATTGATTGATAAAGATATGTCACTTTAAAGGTCCAGTGTGTAAGATTTAGGTGAAAGGGATCTATTGGCAGAAATGTAATGTAGAATAATCCTCATGATGTTTTCACTAGTTCGTTTCATCTAAATTGTATGAATTGTAGTTTTCTTTACCCCAGAAAAGGTCCTTTATATTTAAATACTTTATATTTACATGGAGGGGACCCTCTCTACAGAGGCCGCCATGTTTTTTACATTAGTCCAGACTGGACAAACTAAACACCTTTTGAGTTTTTATGACAACTGAAGCTACCACAGGTTCTTTTTCATGTTTGGAAGGAGAGGGTGAGGTGAGGGGTGTTCAGCTGCAACATGCAATTTCAACACTCGATATCACAACATTCAACACACTGTACCTTTAAGTAGCATATTCATTTGGTCCACGTATCTACAATTATTACTCTTTTGTTGGTACAAATATTGATTCATACCGAGTTGAAAGGAAAATGTAGAGTTCCTCAATATAATTCCAACCAGTATGAATATAATTTTCACCTACTTTTGAAATGGATTTCTACATCAATGAAATTGCATTCTTACTAGTTACAGTTCCAAACCAACACTGTGTAATCTTTTCTCAGTTCTCTTGTCCAAAACAAAATGAGCTCAATGATAATGAACAGATAAAACTTACCTGACTTAACTGAGTAACATTGTAATTTACAGCAATGTGCATATGCATGTAATTGAAGAGCCAATGTTGTGAATTGTTGTTTGTGCTTTGGCTAATCGGCTGGTCTCGATGAAGACAGTAAAGAATGAAGCTCAATGCTTCAGGCCCTGCTGCCGTAGAGGAATCTTCACCTGGAGTCACAGTTCACCTCCATCCATCAACCACAGATCCAGAGTTGCATCACAATGACAGGTGCTTAAGCAGGACAGTCCAGATGCCTTCAGGCTTTTCATCGATTCCCATGTGAGCATTGATGCTTATCAAGTGGGCTACAGCATCCCTAGGTGATATCCTCTCCAGGACCCCACCCACAGGCTCTAAATGGTTGTTTGTTGCATACATATACTGGCAATAATCAGAGCCGTCCTTGGAGCAACTTGCTGTTGCTTGCACTAGATCAAGAGGGAGTTTGGTCCCACAGTCAGTGCTGTGCATGGAGGTGAGCTCAACGGAACCTTTTCACCACTGCAGATGATGGCGTGATGCTTGTTTTGTAGTTAGCATGAGCATGCATTAAGAGCCGGGTAGTGATTATGCAGTCTTTGCTTTTGCAGTTTGTGCTTGTTAAAACCGGCAGCAACTGTGGACGATTGCTATCAGATGGCAGGAAGGAAACTGCACCGGAGGAGACTTTACCACAACCTGTGTGATAGAGACCTCAACCAACTCAAGGCTTCACTCATCTATTATCTGTTTACGTGTTTTCTTTGTGTGCAGCTCTTCAGTTGCTTAATTCACCCCTTGTATTTTATGGATCCAGGGTGGTAACTCACACTGAGCAGTATAACAGGTATTATCTGAGAATTAATATGAACAAATTTTCCATTTTTTAATTAAAGAATTTAAAAAAGGTACTAAGGAACCAGAAAAAGTTTATTTATTATCCCACGCTTGAATATTCCCCTCAAAAAGGAAAAAGAAAAGTTTGAAAAAGCCTGAATTGCACTGATGTGTGTGGAATCATGGATTAGAGAGACAACCACTCTGCATCAATCAAGAGTGGTGCGGATGTGTGAAGAATGTGGGCTACCCAGCAAACAGCCACACGGTGCTGTGAGTCATGACTAGGTTAAGTGGCTGCAGTGAAGTAACAGCAGGAAGGGGCTGGGTGTCTCCTCCTCCATACAGACAAGAGGAAAGAGCAGTGAGATCCGTCTGGATAAATACTGGCTTTCAGACAGCAGACGGATCAGTGTGTACACAGGACATTACCTCGGATCTCAGGAAAACACCCTGACTCAGGTGAGTGCAAGAGATTACTCCAGTTTGTGAAATCTGAACTAGATTTTTTTGTTTTCCACCATCACCACATTGTGCCTGAGCACCTGCTGAGGGCTCCTTCAGAATAATTGTTATCATTTTTTGGATTCTATCTTTTAACCCTGTCCTCATTTGTTCTGTTCTCACTTGCAGCCCTCACAACTACAGACACAATGGCAGGTTAGTGCTCAGCAAATATTAAGAACCTGAAAACAGCATCACTGTCAATATCTTTGTCATCACAGATCACGAGTCATCCTGTCTGCACCCAAGCGTGTGGACAGCCAGCCACAGTAATTGCTCGAGACGTGTTTATTTCTGTGCACTGAAAGCTCATCAATCAGTGCCTTTTTTCTGCAGATGCAAGCTTTCAGAGGGAGTTCCTGGAAACTCACAATAAGTACAGGGCAATGCATGGCGCACCGCCACTGACGCTTAGCAGCGACCTGAACGATTCAGCTCAGAAATGGGCCGATCACTTGCTGGCTCTCGGGCTCATGAGCCACAGCGACACAAAGAATGGAGAGAACATCTACTCCAAGTTAAGCTCCGATACCCTGACAGGTGGATTACACAATCATATTCATTGCATTACTTTAATGTTTTGGTTCACCTGCTGACATGACCACAGATATTGAAACATTTCAAATAATGAATATCACTTTTCTTGACTGATCATTTTAAAACTAAATGAATAAGCCTCATAGCACACTCAGGGGATTTGGTGCTGCAGTATAACCAGCAGCTCATGGGGGCTGAAATTAACAAGCTTTATGGCATTCCTTAGTCAGTTGTGTAACTTAACGAGTCTTCTTTACTTACTATGGTGTTATGTTACACTATGTTTAACATTTACCAATACCCTGTAATTTTCCCTTACAGCTTCATATGTTTGCCATAATGGCATTATTATTTTTTTTTTTTTCAATCAACTCATGGTAGTTTGTTTATATTGTGTTCTTTTTGTGCGTTCTCAGGAAAAGAAGCTGTAGATTCTTGGTACAGTGAGGTCACAAACTACAAATGGAGCAGTCCTGGGTTTGGCAGCCAAACTGGTAAAACACATAACATCTGATGGGTTCCATAGGGAGTCCATTAATAGAGCCAGATTTAAAATGTGTGGGTAAAATATATATCACTTAAAGATTAAACCATAACAAATAATGGATTTATGTTTTTCTGTAATAATCTATTAACTTCAGTGGAAAAGGTAAACATTTATATCGACTTCTACAATATTAATTTTATAAAACACTGAGAGATTCAAGTTAGAATCAGATCACCACACTTGTCTCCTCTCTACACCGCTGTGTTTCGTCCCGCAGGGCATTTTACTCAGGTGGTGTGGAAAGACAGCACAAAACTGGGTGTTGGTTTAGCTTCTGCTGGATCAAGGGCCTATGTGGTCGCCCAGTATTGGCCAGCTGGCAACATGAACATGCCGGGATACTTCGAGAAAAACGTCCTCCAGAAAGGTAAAAAAATCACCTAACCTAGACCACTGGTACTTACTTAGTTTTACTCTTTGTCCACTAAATATTGTATAATTTTATTACACTACATGTATTTGACCTCAATATAGTTACTAGTTACTTTGAAGATTCCAGTTGTACATCCAATGTGGCATTGTACAATGAAATTAGTGCAGTCTTTACAGTGCAGGTAAAAAAGTGAAAACAAATAGATAAAAGGTCTGCAAGAAAGAAAAAAAAAGTAAAAGATAAAAATACACTATGCTATAGAGAAAGGAATGAGAAAAACCTAAACTAACAGCAATCATACAGTCTTATTAATGTAATATATTTACTATCTATGCAAAGGATTTAGTTTCTAGTTACTTTTGAAATGTTAATCACACTTTGCTGCACAAACCTATGATCTTTGAGTCATATATATTTTAAATGCAGTCATTTTGCTTGTAACTCAGTATATTTAAACTGCTACTTTTCGAAGCATCTAATTACTGACCAAGATCATAAGACGTCTGCGTTCACCAGCTCAATTGTCAGAAATGTGAAGGCTGCAGACACATAATAAGCCTGTTTTGGTTTTCGGAATGCTGCAGAACTGGATTTCTATTTTAGGCAATTGTAGGTGTGAGCAGAAAGTCGTGTCATAACAAACCAGTTATGTTGGATCCAAATTGTCTTTATGGTGGTGGACTGATGAAGAAAATCTTGCATTTAGCTTTTTTTATGTGCTTGATGCAACTGCTGTTAGAGGATTATCTTCTGCTCACTGTTTGCAAAGCAGACAAGGATGTGTATCTTCTCATGCAGTTATCTAGCAGGTTTTACTCTTTCCTATGTTTTTCCCTGCAGCAACAGCAGCAGCAGCAGTGTGTTTTTGTTGATTCAGCTTAAATTTAACTTTTACAGGAAGTGGAGAGGGGAGGGGAGAAGGCAGCAGCTCCAGTGGGGGTTCTGACAAGAGCAAAGGGGAAAAATGCACACTGCTATAGACGACCTAGACCATCCCTGCAGCCACGAACTCACCACCACTTAATATCCCATGTTGTAAATTAAAATTAAAGCTTGTCTTACAAAATTGTTTTGATTCAGAATGCTTTTAGGTGTAAATTGTACTCTATTGGAGAGAAACATAGTTATTGACATGTATTAAAATTAATAAATGAGCTATGTTGATAAACTAGCTATGTTGACAGACAGGTTGAAGTTCCAAAAAGTACCACTAGGTTGCGGCATAATACAACAAATCCTGTCCCCTCTCTCTTCAGGTTGGAATATCTGATGCTTTCACATCAATGTGCAACTCACAGAAAGATCTATACTTCATGTTTATAGCTAGTGACTACAGTTCCCATGAACCTCTTTCCACAAGGTTTCATAAAGGGAAGCCAAGAGACATGAAACCAGCAACACAGACCTTTCACAATCCGTGTTTCATGTCACATTAGAATACAAAGAAACTCAGTGTTTTATTGAGCAATTATCAATATAATGGACTAATATTTAGAATAGTTGTCAACACAGAAAAGGGGATCTTGTTTAAGAACTGGCTCATTAACTATTAATTAACTTTCTTTGAATATGACTGATAAATACAAAAGAGAATAAAGGGGTAATATAATGTTCATATACAAGTAATAGACTACACCTACTATAGTCTTATTTATTCTGCTTCAGCTGATGAATTATCAGTAAGAATAGGGACGAAAATGCATGTACTGTGGGTCTGTCCAGTGACGAGGAGCAGGATGGACCTGCTGGATTACACTCAGGATCATTTTCAGGTATATACATGGACTGCGAGGGTCACCCTTTAACGCTCATACATGGATGGGATCATCATCATATGTGCAGTATATGACCATGAAATACCTTCATCAACCATGTCAGTGGCTGACTTACAGCGCCCCCCCTGTGCCTGTCAGTGCTCACAAACAGGGTATTAACCCACATAGAAACATTGTTTTGGTTCTGATTTGGCCCACACTGTCATCTGGCACACATACCATGTGGAATGATGGCACTTTGGACGGTCTGCTCCTATTTGCCAGATCTGGGTCAGATGTAAGCCACAGCAATACCGTATGACAACCAAAGGTACCAAAGGTTGCACGAAATGTTCTATTTGAGCCAAATTCACCATTTACCACACTGGCCACTTTAGGCCCACATCCATTTTGTTTGGGCCACATGAAGGTCAGATGTAACATATCTTTGTCTGAAGTGGCCCACATCCGTATGCTATTTTAGAATTTATCTGTTTCGACTCCAACTCACTCACATCACCGTCTTCATCAAGCACAGGTCATCTTCCACCGAGTCCTCCATGTTTCCACAGAAGGCCAGAAGAAACAAACCAAACACAGACTCCAGGTCCTTAAAGGGTCTTAGAAAGTCTTAAATCCAATTGTTTTCATTTTACTGTAGAAAATGCTTTTTTGTTTGTTTTATTTTGATCAGATTCTCCTTTAGATCTGTCCTTGATCACAACATTTTTCTGTCTGGGTTGAGGAAAGGAGGATGGAAAGGAGATTTTTTTTACTTTTCAACTGCAGTCAGTGACTCAAAGGGTGACCACGTTTCATGTCTCAATGAAACTACATTTCCCATGAGCCCTGTGGTTTTGTGATCCCTCCCCTTTGCTGGCATCTTGTCATGATGGAAGTGGATGCCACGAAATCTGCACTGCAGGCCTCAATCCATTATAGGCAGCCAATCTTTTTGCTGACAACATTTTAGTGAGGAATAGAATATGGATTATAGATAATGCAATGCTACATGGAGCAAATTTAAGCTCAACTCTCAAATGGATGTTAATACTCAGTATTTACCTTAGTACACACCCAATTAAGTCCAGAGATGCAGACTGACGGTACAGTTGAGACTGGACCCTCCCCCGCTGCATCCAGCTGGCCCTTCACTACAACACTGCTGCTGTTTTTATGTAACATGATCTCCTGTTGTAGCAGGGTGTGTTGATGCATCCTGGACTTCCCCTGCACCACACTCACCATCATGCTTTGTGCTCTGTAGGGCTGTGACTGTGCATAGCCCGTTGGTGACTGTCTGGCTTTATTAGCATCAGATTTACTTTTTCACTCTAATGTCTGGACAGCAGCCAAATAGGCACTCCTGTGTGTCTCTTAAAGACACACATACTAAAGGATATGGAGGGAAATTAATGGATGCAGCTCTCTCTCTTTATCACTTCTTATATTTATCTGGCTAATGGGGTCTGACTAATGGTGTATGCCATTTTACTTCAGCATTGCAATGCAGCTGGATCTGCATTTCCAGTTGTTCCAGTGGAAGGCTCTCATCTTCTGTTGATAATTTATAACATAAAAAAAGAATATTGATGCAGAATCAATGAAGTTGAGGAAATGGTTAAGGTTTTGCAGATAGAATGGTTGCGTTACACTTGGAACCTAAGTTTCATGTTGAAGACAAAACAATATATTTTACAAGGGAAATGTCAGGAGAGCATTCAGCCTTAAAATGAGGAATATGTAGCATACTGTTAAGTACACATTTTACAAATAACTTAATACTTATGTTACAAACAGTCTGTTCTGAAGAAAGAACCACGCAGACTTGAAGGAAAGTTCCTCTTTTGAGGAGAAAAACAAGGAATTTCAACATGGCCCTAATACGCCACCGTACAGGCGAAAGGCACAGGCAAAAAATTTAAATTAGTAACAGGCATGAGGAATCATCACAAGCAAAAGAAACTCTGGAACACCAATGTAGATCTGCTGAAATGAACTGACACTGAACAAAGAAATATAAATACACTTAGTTAACAAGACACAGGCAATACTAATGAAGGAACTCCCCCTCTGCAACCTATCAAAATTTCTATTTATTTTATGGACTTTAAAACTGAACATTAGGCTTCATGTAAATCCTCCTAGATGAATACATATGATAACATATTTGTAGACATAAGGAGACAGTATAAGTGTTACATAACTTGTACACTGTTGGGAATATCTCAGAGAATGTTTACCAGGACACACAGCAGAAGTGAAAGTGAGCCTAAGGTTGTGTCACATGGTGGAACACGCCACTAAACCAGCATAAGAGCACACAGTGTAAAATGATTTAAAATAGATTAAAAAGTTTAGTTGCACTTATATATTCCACTTACATGTAGTACTTTGTAGTTTGGCTTTTTGAAAGCTAATTGTACTTACATGATTCTTGTTTGTACCCATGTGGTTGAATGCACTTATTGTAAGTCACTTTGGAGAAAAGTGTCAGCTAAATGATATGTAATGCAATGTAATGTTACATCTTTACATTGACCACAGTTGAGCAGGATACAAATCTAGAGATGAGGCATTATGACATTTTTTATAGTTCAATAGGGCGTGTTTACTTCTGGCTTCCTCTTCACAGGCTGATTTGTAGTTTATTTTGGTATTCAAACCCTGGGGCCATGTGAACACATGACAGTGCACATATGACTCCTCAGAAGCAAAATTGTTAAACTGGTGGAACTTATACATGAAAAACAAAATACTTTCTATCATATAGGGATTGGTGAATTACCAGGGGGCGGATTTTCGGACAGAGCTGAGATGTTACTGCGCTGTTCTGAGCTACATATGTTGCATTACGGTTGAGCAACTGCTTTATTTATTTAAATATAAAAAAGAAAATCAATAATAATGAAATTTGACCCTCAAAAATATGTAGTTTTAAATTACAAAAAGAACGAGTGTTTGGCTTTTTCACATATATTCAAATACTGTCTCAATAGTCAGCTCTCAGTGGCCTAGATCCAAAAGCTATCAGTGTCAGCTTTCAACTTTACAGCTCTGTGAAAACTCCATTCATTCTGCTTCTTTCCCAGCTCAGCCATTGTACTTTCCAGCATCTTTCACAAACACACCTGAGGTTGTAACCTCCAGTCAAACACAGGTTGTCCTGACACACTTGGATCATGTCGATGTGTTTCTATAGACTGAAAGAGCCATGGTGTGCAGCAGAATGTGACACTGGCTGAGTGCTTCTGCAGTGGGAAGGCAGTAACCTGATATTAGAGTGATTCAGTGGTTCTCCCAGCAGACATACTGTACATGATCTCAGCTGTTCCTGGCTGACACCTGTCCACCCTAACAGCCCTTTCCCCACAATATCTATAACAGGACCAGTTGCACATGAGATGAACATTCGACCAGCTGGTGCATTATTCTCCTCAAAGTGCAAAATGCAGTTAAGTTTCATGTTGAATGCAAATGTTTCTGCATAATTATTCTAAGCTCTCACATGATCTGTATCTCCATCTAACCTGTATTCTACTTTACATTATGGCCTCTTCTTACAACCCCAGCTCACTGTATAAGTCAGTGGAGGCGGAGTGGCTTCAGTCTGTGGACCCACGTGGAACATGTCTTCTTCTACATCATCTGATAAACTACACCAGTGGTCATCAACTGGCAGCCTGTGGCCAATATTATTTGTTCCACCAGATCATTTTGATGATCTGCTTATTTTTATTCCTCATTTACGGGTATTGCGGGTGCTGATCTCCGTCATGCATGGCATTCACACAATCACTTCCTCTTTATCAAGTTGTCTTTAGAGCAACGACACCATTTTTGTGATGCTGTAATGCTTTAATCTTAGTGTAGTGAAGTGTTGTGAATGCAGCCCAGGTAGTCCAGCAAGACTCCTCCCTAAGCTCCTCCCCCTGCCCAGGTGCAGTATAAAACCCTCAGCTGGCTCAGTTCCTCCTCTTTGCAGGTCGCTGCTGGTGGTTACCTGTTGTTCTGTTCTGCTTTTGTTAGGTTTGCCTTTGTTTGTCTGTTTTGCWYATYTMTGTAGTTTTSATTTGCTYGTTGGTCCAGATTTATTRAGGWTGCTWAGTTTAGGTACATTTCTGTTTGACTCCTTGTTTTGAGTCTGTACGTTTTGGGATTTTGTTCAATTATCAATTGGGTGGTTGGTTTTGTTAACTTTTTGTTCTCTTTGTTTCAGGAAGTTTTTTTGTTTCTTTGATTTTCAGTGCGGACTGGGTGTCATCAGGTGGGGGGGAGGGGCTAGGCACCGTGGTGAGGACCTCACTCCTGTTGC